TGGCTCAAGCGGTAGCGCGCTCGCCTGGCATGCGTGCAGCCCGGGTTCGATCCTCAGCACCACATACAAACAAAGATGTTGTGTCCGCCGAAAACTAAAAATAAATATTAAAATTCATTCTTTCTCTCTCTCTCTCTCTCTAAAAAAAAAAAAAAAAAGAAAAGAAAAGAAAAATAATTAAGTTTTGTTTACTTTTTTTTTTTGGTACTGGGGATTGGACTCAGGGGCACTTGACCATTGAGCCACATCCCCAGCCTTATTTTGTATTTTATTTAGAGACAGGGTCTCATTGAGTTGCTTAGCACCTCGCCATTGCTGAGGCTGCCTTTGATCTCAAGATTCTCCTGTCTCAGCCTCCTGAATGAGCCGCTGGGATTACAGGTTTGCATCACCGTGCCCAGTGGGGATTTGTTTTTTGACATTGAGTTTTACACAAGACAGGGACCCAGGCAATTCTTTTTCCCCCCCTTTTTTGAGTACTGGAGATTGAATCCAGGACATTATACATGCTAGTCAAGTGTTCTACCCATGAGCTACATTCTCAGCCCACTTTTGTAAATTTTTATTTTGAGATAGGGTCCTGCTAAATTGCCCAGGCTGGCCTCGAATTTGTTGTCTTCTGCCTCAGTCTCCCAAGTTGCTGTGATTAGAGGAATGTGCTGCCACATCTAGCTCCCAGGTGACTCTTGGTGGTATTCAATGATTCCTGATGGGCAGCTCCTCTCCCTTTCTCAAATACTGAGTGAATCCTCAAGACAGGCCCTCAGACCCCAAAGAATAAAATCAGGAAGCATGTGATTTCTCTGGTCAGTGGCAGCAAATGCACAGAATGTGATGTCTCTAAAGAGAGGCCAGTCTCACCAAGGACCACAATCAGCTAGTGCAATCTCTTCATTCCACTTGAAGCAATCAGTCCTCAGTCCACTGCCTTCCTCTGCTCTGTGACAGATAGGTGGAGTTGCYCCAGGAGATGAGGCACTGGAGATTTGCCACCCCACTGAACTCACTCATAGCAAGTATTGCACAATTACGTTGTTCCATCAGTTTTCACTCTTTGGGACTCAAATTAACACCAACCAAAAATCACTAAATCACTTATTTTCACAAAGTTGGATTTTGCTATAAATCCACATATTTACTCACTAAGCAATAGTATATTTTCATTACAGCAGTTCAGATACACCACAGGATTGGCCTGGTGACCAATTTAAAGCCAATAACCATCCTTCACAAGAACTAGAAGATAAAATCACACAGGAAACTTCTTCTCCTTCCATCTTTAGCTCACAAGCTCTGACCACATCTTTTGACAGTCAACATGCTTCAGTATGACAGCGTAGAGGTGCTCCAGTCTCTTTACATAGAGCAGTGAGGGCCAGAGAGCCTGGGTCGCATTCGCATCCCTGTTGAGCACAGTATTGCTGGATGAACTCAGACCAACAGATCCCTTTGGCCTGGTGCACCGCACTGTGGACAAAACAGCCTTAACTCATGGAACTGCCAGAATTTCAGGTAACACACCTGTGGTCCAGCAGTGTGCAGAGCAAAGTTCTGTTGTTTCTGTCATGTCACAGGTCAATTTGTCCATCTGACAATATGTCCACCAACTGCTTTCTTAGGCCCAAGCACAATGTCCACAGATTCAGTACAGTTCTGCAAAAGGAGTCAGCCTGCAAACATGTGAGACCTTTTGGCTGCAACAATGAATCACACAATGTTGCAACTACCCTTGGGAGCACAATCACATACTGATACAATGGAGATCAGGAGAAACTCTTCACAACAGATTATTGTTTAAAACCACACTCTTCTGCCTGAGGTGAATGCTGTAGGAGAGGAACCTGTGAGGATTGCTTGGCATTCCTGCTTCAAGTGATAATTCTCCATGCAAACAAGACATTTAGGCTGAGGTGGAGAACCACTGAGAATCCAAGTTGGAGATATTTGCTATACATAATTAGTGCCAATTTTATTTTTGGACCAGCATTAGTCTTGATAATATTCTAGATCTGGTAAAAATGTGAGAAAGTATCTCTAAAAATTAAACATATATCTGTACAGTGGGAAAATGAGCAATCTGAATAAGGTCTGCTCTTGTCTTATTAATAGCAGTGTACAGGTGCTATTTTTTGTTTTGTTTTTCAAGTAATAGTTATCGAATGGATAGTCTTGTGCATTTTTTGTTTTGTTTTTCAGGTAATAGTTATCGGATGGATAGTCTTGTGCAAGTGTTCTATAACTAAGCTACATTCCCAAACCTTWAAAAAAAAATTTTTTTWWAAATATTTTTTAGTGGGGCTGGGGATGTGGCACAAGTGGTAGCGCACTCGCCTGGCATGCATGCGGCCCGGGTTCAATCCTCAGCACCACATACAAACAAAGAATTTGTGTCCGCCAAAAACTAAAAAATAAATATTGAAATCTCTCTCTCTCTCTCTCTCTCTCTTAAAAAAAAGAAAAATAAATAAATATTTTTTAGTTGTTGATGGACCTTTATTTATTTGTATGTGGTGCTAAGAATCGAACCCAGTGCTTCATGCATGCTAGGCAAGTGCATTACCACTGAACCACAACCCCAGTCCCAATTTTCTTTTTTTTTTTTTTAATTTTGAAATAGGGTCTAAGTTGTCCAGGATGGACTTGAACTTGTGATTTTCCTGCCTCAGGCTCCTCAGTATCTGGGATTACAGGCATGATCCACCATATCCAGCCTAATTTCTATTTTGATGTTAAAATTTGGAAAGTGGGTAAGGGATTGTGGAGATCACCATTGGGCTGGCTGGGGGTGTAGCTCAGATAGAACACTTGTCTAACATGCTTGACGCCCTGGATTCAACCCCCAATATATATATATTTTTTATGAAGCCCTAAGCAATTCAGCAAAATAAAAAAATAAAAAGGGCTGGAAATATGATTCAGTGGTAAAGTAYCCCTGGGTTCAACACCGGTACAAAAAAAAATTAAATAAAATTAAAAAAAACTAAATTAATATAAAATACCTAAGGAGATCATAAAGAGGAGGATGAAAACTGTGCCAACTAAGCCACTCTTCTAAAAACAGACAAAAAAGCACAAAAATTAGCTAGGCATGGTGGTTCATGCAGGTAATTCCAGAAACTTGGGAGTCAGAGGCAGGAGGATTGCAAGTTCAAGGTCAGCCTCAGCAACTTGGTGAAGCCCTAAGCAATTCAGCAAAATAAAAAAATAAAAAGGGCTGGAAATATGATTCAGTGGTAAAGTACCCCTGGGTTCAATCACCAGTACAAAAAAAAAAAAAGTACAAAAACTAAATTAATATAAAATACCTAAGGAGACCATAAAGGTTCTCTGGCTTCAGGAAATGGGTAAGAGTACTTCAGAAATCAAAAATGTTCTAAAATAAGTTGCACTAAAAAACTCAATTAAAGCACGTCAGCTTACAAAAATAGGAAAAACAGAAACTGATTTTACTTCAATAATACTGAGAAATTGACAAAATACAAATCACTTACTGTTATAAATAATTTTTCAAAAAACTTATTTCTGGGCTGGGGCTGGGGCTCAGTGGTAGAGCACTAGTCTGGCATGCATGAGGCACTGGGTTTGATCCTCAGCACCATATAAAAATAAAATAGAGGAATTGTGTCTACTATAACTAAAAAAAAAAATACACATTAAAAAAAATTTAGTTCCCCCGCTTTTTTTTTGTACTGGGGATGGAACTGTGAGGGTGCTTAATCACAGAGCCACATATTTCTTTTGGGATTGGGCTGGTACCAGGGATTGAACTCAGGRGCACTGACCACTGAGCCATGTCCTCAGCCCTATCTTGTATTTTATTTAGACAGAGTCTCACTGAATTGCTTAGCACCTTGCTTTTGCAGAGGCTAGCTTTGAACTCACAATCCTTATGCCTCAGCCTCTGAGGCCCTGGGATTATAGGCGTGGCCATCGAGCCTGGTCTGAACCACCTATTTTGAGACAGGGTTCACTAAGTTGCTTAGGACCTCAATAAATTGCTAATGCTGGTCTTAAACTTGAGATTCTCCTGCCTCAGCCTCCCAAATTGCTGGGATTACAGGTGTGCACTACCATGTCTGCCTTAAAAAACTTTTTCCTTAAGCATTAAAGTCATTTGCTTGGCATTAATGAATGCATTTAATTTAATGAACTAGCTGAGATTAGGTTTAATATTTGTTTTTATTTTTAGTTTTTATGTTCATTTTTTCAGTTTTGGGAATTGAACCCGGAGCACTCTACCACCAATATATGTCTCCTTTATATTTTTTATTTTGAGACAGGGTCTCACTAAGTTGCCTAGGTTGGCCTTAAACTTATTAAAATCCTCCTGCCTTAGCCTCCTCTGGAGTTACTAGGATTATAGGTGTATACCACTACATCTGGCTTGAAATTTGTTTTTAAAATAAGTGTTTAAATATTTCTTAAAAAATTAAAATTGTGTAATTCTATTCAATTTTGATTTTTGCAATATCAAAAGTTAATAATCAAGAATAAATAATAGAAAACATCAATAAAGTAAATTATGTTCTATTTAGGAATTTTAGTATCAGATAATAATAAGAATAAAAAATAATAACCACATGTATCTTTTGGAAGAAATTTTTTGGTAGAGAAGTCAGGAAAAAGGCAGCACTAAATTCAAGGAAAATAAATATTTTGCAATGTACACACAAAGCAAAGAACATATATTATAATGTAGAAATCATGATTAAGTGTTATTTGGTCATCTTGGGCTGGATCTCAGCAAGGCCAAAGCAAGCTGGCCTCTTGGGGCAGCCACATAGAACCAGTTGTTTTTCAGTAAAGCCACCACCCACCACCCTGTCAGGAAGTTTGCAAAGACACCTACAAAAAATGCTCAGGTTTAGCTTCATCTGTGTTTTTAAAAGCCAATGACAGTGCCTGGGTGAGGATCCCAAGGTGGCACAGCCCAGGGACTCCCCAGAGACTCATTTAGCTGAAGAAACCAGGCTCAGACCCCTGGAGTTAATGAAACAAAACTGTATTTAATGAACAACAACATAGTAGGTTACAGGTCTGGACAGTGGGGGGCTCAAAAAAAAAGGGGGYGGACAGTAAGGGCTGTGGCACCCTGGGGGAGCAATGTCACTACCTCTTAGCACCTCTCCCCTGAAGAGGGATTCATGTGATTCCCCTGTCCAAGAGGACAGCATGGCAGGAGAACTGCCCCATCTCAAGGTGGGAAACTTGAACTCCAGGTAGTTTATCAGCTTACCCAAAGCCACATAAGGTTCCTGTACTGCTCCTGTACACCATTACCCAGCTCAGAGGAGACATGACTAGACAGGCAAAAGGGGATGAACCCCTCACAGGAAGGGTAAGCATGGTGTTGGAAGAGGCATTAGTGCAGTGCACAGTGACAATGAGAGGTGCTGGCTGCAGCCAGGTGGGACTAGGCATCTGTCCTATTTCCCAGGTCTCAATGGCCCAACATCCACTTGGGTCACTGCTTCTCCCCTCTTCTCTCTGGTGTCCAGACCCTCAGGACTGGCTGAGGGAGTTCACAGGGCAGAATGGGAGGGTACAGGGAGGTATACTCCCTGCAGTGCTCAGAGAGAAGTATTCCCTTGGCACCTGCCATGCACAAGGTCAGCACAGGGCTCAGGCAGTACAGATGCCCAGGGGCCTGAAGGATCTAAGGGGAGGGGGCAGCACACAGAAAACCATGACATGTGGCCAGCCACAGTGCTGGAGAGGCATATAGAGAACGGATGTAGTAGGCAGAGAAGACCAGGAGGTGTTATGTGGGCAGGACCTAGGGAAGTGCAGGGCCCAATGAAGAGAAGTAGGAAGGGCAGGACTGAGGCAAGCATCCATGCTGAGGGGTCCGAGTTTGAACCTGGCCTGGTGGCCATTGTGTCAAGAGGGGAAAACAGGATGACTGTAGAGACTGTGGGAGGCTCAAGGAGGCCACGGAGATGGAAAGAGGAGGGCTGAGAAGCCACAGCGAGTCCAGGCATCTCTGGGCAGGCCTCTGGGAATGGCACTGGCTGTTTGGGAGGTTGATCAAAGAAAATCCCTCCTGGGGCCACCTCTTCAGGTGGACTTGCAGCAAGGAAAGGCCCACCAAGAGCTTCAGGCTCTGCAGAAACACAAGGACATGTCACGTTCCCTCCAGCCCCCACCCCACCGGCCTTTTACCCTCTCTAGGGGAATAGGGGAGCAATGGGTCTCAGCACAAATCCTGCCCTCCGCTTTCCCACTCTACAGTAGCAAATGCAGCCCAGCAAAGTCTCAGAGTGGAGTTACTGCTGGAGAGGAGACCCCCAGGGAAGGAGGGACTTGACCAGAGGCCTGGGGAGATGCTCTTGGGGAGGGAAGTGGGATCCTACCGGGGAACAGTGCCAAGGGCACCTATTCTCAGGACCAATCCTTGGGGGAGATCAGGTCCCCTCCAGAGGGGAGTGACACCTTGCAGCACCAGTAGGGGGCACCACAGTCACACACTTGGTGGAAGGTTCCTCTGTCTTTCCATCCCCCTCATCAGGGCCTGAAGCCCCAGTGGCAGCAAGATGTAGAACCCCAACCTATATAGCCTTGGGAAGATTCCTCCACAGAGAGCCATGGCCTTCAATTGGGAAGGAGTGTGCCTTCTATACAGGCACTGTGCTGGCCTGAGCCCCCTGAGCTCTAACCCAGAGGCAGGTGGGATCAGGGGGCCTCTTCCAAGTAGAAGGAGCAGCTAGTCCAAGCAGGCTTGGCCAGGCTTGGCCATGGTAATCCAGCTGCAGGCCAATACTGCTCACCACATAGGGGCGGGTTTCACTCCCTGCTCCTGGAAGAGGTGACCCAGCCTCTACCCCACCACCCCACAGAGGCAGCTCAGTCACCATCAGCGCAGGCCCATCACTGGGTATCAGGGTCTTGGAAGCCCCAGGCCTCCACAGCAGCGATGAGGAAGTTCTCTGAGCAGAGGGGCTGGTTGTTGAAAGTGTCGCAGTGTCCCGTGCGGCCCCGGTTCAGGTCCCCGTCGATGTAGAGCGCCTGGCCACCCCCTCCCCCTACAGGGTGCTCATGTCAGTAGCAGCCTCTCTGTCCCCACCCACAACCCATCAGCACTGCCCTTGAGGTGTCTCTGCCTAGACTGGGCAACCTCAGAAGTCCTTGCCAGAGGCCTCTCTAAAGCCTCTGGCAAGTGGTCCCTTTAGGCCTTGCCTAGCATGTGCAAGGCCCAGCATCACAAAAATAAATGCATAGGTACATAAAACCATAGGCTGACCTTTGAACCTCCACAGTACCCTGGGCCTGGCTGTCCAGGTAGACCCCTGCTTCCTAGTCTATTTATCCCAATCCTCACTCACAATCCTCCATGCCCTCCCCCCAGGGTAGGTAGAGGAAGTGGGTTCCTACCGATGATGAGGCAGTCAGTGCCCCCAGCCATGAACATGGACTCAGTCTTGGAGGGCAGGTTGAAGTGCCGAGCAGCCAGGAATGGTGAGAGTCGGTCAGCTGGGTCTGAACAGCTGGAGTGGGAGGATGTGCAGGGTACGGGCTTGGTAAGCTCTGGGTGCTTGATGACTACCCACTCGTAACGCTGTACCTCTGGCTGCAGCTGAGGGTGAATGGGCATGAGTTACTGGCATGCAGTGCCCCAGTGAGCCCCTTCTGTCCTCCAAAACCAAGGCCCATCTCCATTCCATAGATTGGCTGTGAGCCAGGGGCTGAAGAAATGACAACACACAAGCAGATGAGGTCCCACTTGCTCACAGGCACTTGATAGTGTGATCAAAACCCAGAAGTTGTGCTGGGCAGTAGCACACACCTCTAATCCCAGTGATCTATGAGGCTCACAGGAAGATCACAAGTTTAAGGCCAGCATCAGCAATTTAATGAGGCCCTAATTAACTTACTGAGACCCTGTCTAAAAATAAAAAATAAAAAAGGGCTGGGGATGTAGCTCAATGTAACTCTGGGCTCAATCCCTAGTACTGGGAAAAAGATAAAAATCATTTATAGCTAGGTGTAGTGGCACTTGCTTATAATCTCAGTGACTCAGGAGGCTGAGGCAAGAGAGTTGCAAGTTCAAAGCAAGGATTTGCATCTTAGTGAGATTCTGACTCAAAATATAAAATAGAAAGGGCAGGGATCTGGCTCAGTGGTAGAGCACTTTGGGTTCAATCCCCAGTACCAAAAAAAAAAAAAAAAAAAAAAAAAAGCAGAAGGAAAATATCCTGTAGGGTAACTGCTGATCATGTGAGCTGGGGTACCAGGGCAAGGGCCTGCCAACTCCTGAGCTCCCCCCCTGGGAGCTTTGGAGAGGTTCAGGGACTGGGAACAACCCTGGCCCAGGGTGACTGCTGGGCCTACACGGGGGGCCCTGGGCTCAGCCCCACTCACCCTAAACACAAAGCACTCTCCAGTTCCGAAGAAGGACAGTTTGCCTCCATACTTGTTTCTCTCACTCCAGTCTGTTGATAGATAAGCTCCACACACCTGAGGAAGAAGGTCAGGCTACCCCAGGAAGGTTCCCTTGTTCAGGCCTACTGAGGTACCAAGTCACAGGCCCCAGCAGGGCATGCAGTGTGTCACAGTCCCCCCACCCACCCACACACACCAAGTGCAAAAGGGATGTGGAGAGGGCTAAGTTTTGAAAAGTGCACCCTTCCACACCACAGGTTGAAGCTGGCCATGGGGTGGATGCCTCTGGGACATTTCCATCTCCCTTAGTGGTCCTCAAGCACAGGATGAGCTCCATGCATAGGACACATCCACATTTGGATTTTGGCATCCCTGGGAGATGCAGCCTCTCCCAGGTTCATCAGAGTCCAGGTCCCAGACTCCCTTGGGTCCTCCTCACCTCCTTCTGTGTGGTCTTGATGAGCAGGAGGGTAGGTTCGTGTCCCTCACACTGGAAATAGAACCTGGGGGCAGAGACCACAGATGCTACTCTGCTGCCCTCCCCACTGTCTCCTGCCAGCCTCTGCTGACTCTTAGCCCAGGCTGTCAGGGGTGCTAAGGATCTGGCAATGTCCTCATCAGGTGCTCTTCTCACCTGGCTTTTCTCGGACATTGTGGGCTGTCTCCTCCAGTTGGATGGAAGAGAAGCCTCATAGCAGATGGCCCCCTGAGGGCAGAGCCCAGAGCCAGGTGCTACAGGGAAGCAAGAACCAGAGGAACAGGTCCTCACTATAGGAAAGCTGGGCACATCCTCAGGGGCTGGGCATGTGGGGCGACCCACAGCTTCCAGTGTGGTGCACAGTGCTCGGCTGATGTGCTTGGTGGGGGTTGGGCAAAGTAGCTCCAGCTATGCCAAAATGCTTATATGGCTGCAGACAGGGCCTGGGGTGAAAGCTAGGCCAGCTCTGCCCAAATCACCCAGCCAGGTCACTTGTGACACCAGCTAGAGTTTCTGAGGCTACCTGCCATCTGAGACTTGAGGTGCTGAATACCAGCCAAACCTGGCTGAGCTTTTTTGGTGGCAGTGTGCCTGGGGAAACCCCCTATCAGAGCAATGCACWGGACCCTAAGCTATGGCCTAGGAGGCAGATCTCCAAAGTGTGGGTAGCCTGGAAATGACAAAAGTTCAGACAAGGGGCTTCTGATTCTTGGAGCCCACAGGAAGAGGTAGGGCCTCACCAGGGGCCCAGGTACAAAGGCTTTTCCAACCACCCCTATGAACTCCTGGAAGTCATGGCAGGACATACCTGGGGCACCAAGTGGGCCTCACCTGCTTAGACTGTACCCATGCTGCAATGAGGAGAAAAGTAGAAGGGGCTGGCAAAGGGCAAACCGCTCAGGGACCCAAGACCAGATATCTCTCATCTCCTTCACGCTGACAATCTCAGAGCGGAAGTTCTCTGCATGGACGGCCAGGTGCACAAACTGCCTGGGGAGAGCAGAAAATGTCAGAGCCTGCAGTGACCTGACTGTATTCCCACCCAGGTCTCAGAGCTACTCTTTGTAACCAAGCCCAGAGGGGACATCTCATCTACTCAACCAGGTGTACTGCCTGATTCTAGGGCCTGGATACAAAGAATGGGGCACAGCTGTTCCCAAAAGCCCCACCTCCCACCTTCTAAAAGGGCAGAGTGCCCAGACTGGGGGTGTCAAAAGCACCTTTTCTCTAAGAAATCAGGACAGAAGGACAAAGTTGCAGGGCCAGCCAAGTACCAGCAGATGGCACAACTGAGGAAGACAGACAGACAGATTGTGCCTGAGTGTCAGGCTGAGGAAGTGGAAGCTGGTTCATAAGAACCAGCCAGGCCCTGGGAAATAGCAAGAGTTGGTTCAGAGCTGGCTGCCAAAAAGGTGGAGAAGTCAGGCACTGAGGTGTGCTTTTAGACCTACCTTTTAGAAAGTGAGACACTGAAAAACAGGAGGAAGCAATGGACATGGAGAAGAAAAAAGAAAATAAAACAGACAAGAAGAGGTTAGTGGTAGATACCAATCTCAGGGTGTGCCTTCCTCTGGCCCAGGAGAAAGAGAATTACATGCCAACAATCACCCATGGCATAATCCCAGTGTCAGCTGCTGAACACGGTGACCCTTCCCAACCCTGTTCCCCAGGAGCTGCGCTCAGGGCAGGGAGACCACATCAGCAGCCATAAGAACAACCAGCCATGAAGCCCAGAGTTGGAGGGATGGAGCAGGAGCTGCTCTTACATGACCTCTGAGAGGCCAGCCTGGCCCCTATGGACTTTCTGACCCTCTGTTGCTGTCTAGCTTCCATCTCAGCCATTGACTTTAGTCCCTGAGGACAGGCCCTGGCATGTCTTGCTGTGACAGTAACTAGGAAGGCTCTTCCTGCTTTTTAGTGTCTTTCTACCCATATGTATACACATGGACAGACCGAGACTGATAGAATAAGCTCAGGCTCAGACTTCCAGGATGTAATCCACCAGAACCCCCACTCTTGCCTGGGTCCCTTGCAGCCTGCCAGAGGCGCGCGCGTGGGCGCGCGCGCGCGCGCACACACACACACACACACACACACACACACACACACACAGCCTGGGGCTGCTTACCTCTTCTGCTTGACCGTGATACCTTTCTGCTTCAGTGCTTTCTCATTGGCCATCTGCAGGAGTTGGATCTCCTTGCGGGAGAAGAGACGGATGGCAAATGCTTTCTCTAGCAGCTTCTCAGGGGACACCGTCTTAGCAATATCCTTGACAAACATGCGGATGTCCTGCTTTACATTGTCTGACTCAAGAGGCTGACCAGCTCTCACCTTGTGAAAGAACTTGAGAATGGCCAGAGCGACACGGTATAACACCTTGTAGCCTTCCACCAGGAAGACATCAAAGACACGGGCAAAGTAGTTGAGGGGCAGCTCTCCAAACAGCCAGCGCTGCCAGTCAGAGTAGACCTGCAGGACATCCTCTGACACAGCCACCATCAGCTTGTGGGCCGCCTGGCAGTACTTGTTTACCAGGTCCCCAAATGTCATACAGGATGACTCAAAGGCCAGGAAACTCTGGTCAATTAGCTTCTTGCTGGGGTCATTGCAAGCCAGGATGCGGCAGGCTTTCTCGAAGCATTCAGCCTCATCAATGCTGTAGTGAAGTAGCAGGGCCACAACAGCTGGCAGGGCTGGGCAGAAGGAGATGTCAGGGAACTGGTTGGCAATGCACAGGAGGATTTTGCGCACGGCACCCTCGCCCCGAGCATTCAGGCAATAGATGGGCACCTGGGTGTTGTCCACAAACTCTGGCAGGGGCAGGCTACTGCTGCTGTGCTTGCCCACAATTTTGCCCACAATGTCACTGTACACACTGGCGTCAGGTGTGACTGTGCGGCAGGGGATGTCCCGGATCAGACGCTGGTACACCTTTCCCCTCAGGGCGTGGCTCTGAGCCCAGTATCCCTGGCGTGCCAGCTGCTTTAGCTCCTGCAGTTCAGTGCAGCTTAGTTCCTTTGGCCCCAGGTCCTGAATTGCAGCATCCATTTTGTCTCTGTCCACAAAGCAGTTGTACCCTGGGGAATCCATGGTGTTGGTATGCCAGGGAGAAGGGCCCCAGGCTGCCAGGATGGACGTAAAGAGTAGCTAGATCCTCCAGTCCCCTCTACAGAGTTTGCTTGCTAACCTGTCTGCCATCCCACACCCTGTAGAATTAAAAAATATTTTTAGTACATGTGTTTGAAAAAATTTGAAAAATTTTTAAAATAACTTTTTTGTCTGCTACACTTTTTGCCTAGCTACTCAGGAAGCTGAAGCAGGAGGATGGCAAATTTGAGGCAAGCCTGGGCAACTTAATAAGACCCTGTCTCAAAACAAGCTGGGAGGGGTGGTGGGATATAGCTCAGTTGGTAGAGTGCTTGCCTTGCATGTACAAGGCCCTGGGTTCTATCCCCAGAACGTACCAAAACAAACAAACAAAAAAACAAAACAAAACCAAACAAACAAACAAAAGAAAAAACTCAATAGGCTGGGCTTGTAGCTCAGTGGCAGAATGCTTATCTAGCATGTGCAAGGATCTGGGCTCAATCCCCAATACTGAAAAAAACATTGTTTTTCTGTTTTAATGTTTCTACAAAGTACTAGAAAGGCCTCCATTTAAGATAAATAGCTGTTCTGGATGTGGTGGCACATGCTTATAATCCCAGCAACTCAGGAGGCTGAGGCAGGAGGATTCTAAGTTCAAGACCAGCCTCAGCAACTTAGCAAGGCCCTAAGAAGCTTAGTTAAACCTTATCTCAAACTAAAAAAAAAAAAAGGGCTTGGGATGTGGCTCAGTGGTTAAGCGCCCCTGGGTTCATTCCTAGTACCAAAAAAAAAAAAAGAAAGAAAGAAAAAGAGAGATAAAGGACTCTTCTGAGAAATCATTATGAACTTTGGAATATATCTTATTTTCACAGAGCTCAGGTGTTACTGGAATGGGCGACACAGGTTTGGAGTAATGAGAAGCTAGGGACAGGGTCCCTCGAAGGGGTTTAGAGACCAAGTGTGCTAAAAACAGCTGGACCTCTCCTCAGGAGGTCCATTCAGGCTCTCAAACACCCCGTCCTGAGGCCTGGGATCTTCCAAAAAGGAGCCAAGGGCCAGGAGGAGTCTGTGAGCAACTCCTTCTTTCAGCCCTTGGAGGCAAAGGCTGTGCACTGAGGACCTGCGCCTGCTCCGCCTTACCTGGCCTGGGATGGAATTCTGAAGCCAGCTCTTAACTTTGACATTGTCAGCTTGGAAGGTACATTCTGCAGGCAACTCCAGACAGAATCACTGGGGATGGGGGGTGTGCTGAGTAATAAATGGAAGGTGACCCAGCTTCAAAATCAGACTTCTGGGGACAAAGGATGGACTCTCAGAAGCTTCAGTGCCATCTCTCCATGATGCTGCTGCTGTTCTTCATACACACATAAGAAACAGGGGAGCTGAGCCTCAACAGGAGGTTCTAAATAGGCACCTACAACAGCCAGTCTTCTGCTTCAGGTCCCACACTCACCAAACCTCTGCCAAAGCTACTCTCCTGGACACAAAGGCATAATATCTGCCAACATAAAATCAGACTAACCTGTCTGCCTGGGACAGCACAAGTGTCTGAAGATGTCAAAGGGATAAGCTTCAGTGAGATTTGGCAAATGACTACATCACTCCAGGTTCTCTTGCATCTAGAAGATTCATCTAAAAACAGGAAAAGCAAATACTATTTTATTGAAACACCGAATGAAAATTAAGAACTATAATACAAAACCAAATGGGCAATACTGTTTTGAGAAAGTGCCTGGGTGAGGCTTTCATTTTTGTGTGTGGTAAAYACACACAAAAAATGCCGTTTTAACCACTGGTGAGTGTACAGTTCAGTGGTATTAACTACCACATTCAACTCCAGAAACTCCCCTGATTAAACACAGACTCCCTCCCCCATGCCCTGACATCCCCCATTCTACTTTYTGTCTCCAAGAATTCAGTTGCTCTAGGTGCCTCACAGGAATGAATCATCCAATATTTATACTTTTACGACTAGCTTGTTTTACTTAGCTAGATGTCCTCAAGGTTCATCTCTGTTTTAGTACATACCAGAATAAAGACTCAATAATATTTTGTCATATGGACAGACCACTTTGTTTACTCATTCATCTGTGGATAGACACTTACCTTTTGGCTGTTGTGACTACTACTACCATGGACTTGGGTGTACAAATATCTGCTGAGTCCCTGCTTTTAGTCTTTAAGGTCTATACCCATTGATATATTTTTAGAGGGGCTTCCCCATAGAAAAAATTAATTAAAACAAGTTTTTCTGACAAAACACTAAAATATAAAAGTGATTTTTAATATGTCCCATTGGAAAACCATGCTCACAGTAAGATTAGGCTTGTGTCACAACCTGTACCCTCTTCTTAATAAGGACACGCCTTAAAAATAGTTGTGGAGTTCGCTCTGTCTTGGGAGTAGCAGCAGCAAGGGTCCCTTCTTCCTCTGCTCAGAAGGCTATGCCCCAGGCCACCTGCACACCCACAGCCACAGTCAGGCCACACTCCACAATCTCCCATGTCTGAGTTATCTGTGTACTCTAGAGCCTAAGCTCACAAACACTGGAATAACCCCAGGCCTATCCTGTCTGGGTGAAAAGAACCAGGTCCTTCTGACAGCAATAAACATGTTTATGAAGAGAGGAGCAGAACAGCGCCTTCAATTGCCTGGCCCCAGACCCAGGTTGAATATTAAACTGAAAACTCCAGAAGTGATCTCTATACTTGGCAGAGAGTTCTTTTAGCAAGTTGCAGATGCAGAGTGGTGAGCTGCAGCAAGAAGTCCAGGATCACACTGGATCAGAGGGACACAGAGGCAATGAGCCCCCACTCCATGTCCCTTCCTTCTTCCCACATCTCAAAAGGAAAGCATGATGCTTCTAGGCCCCAGCAACCAGGTTCCCAATGACCTCCTCAAGGCAGCTATTTTTTTTTTTTTTAGTTGTTGATAGACCTTTATTTTATTTATTTATATGTGGTGCTGAGAATTGAACCCAGTGCCTCACACATGCCAGGCAAGTATGCTACCGCTGAGCCACAACCCAAGCCCCCTCAAGGCAACTATTAAAGACAAGTATTTTCCTTTGGTTTCAAACAAAATGAAACATTTTATTAGGTAAGTGATATATGAAAGCAGAATCACAATCACAAAAGTTATGTAAGACCAGATTATAGAGTTCTGTTTAAATTACCTCTCTAGTTCTATCCTCCTTCTATGGAAAGAGAACAACCACACTTTGGTATACAGCTTTCAAAACTAACTTCCTTCCTTCCTTTTTTTTTTGTACTGGGGATTAAACGCAGGAGTATTTCACCACTGAGCTACATCTTCAGCCTTTTTTAAAAAAGACAGGGGGCTGGGGTTGTAGCTCAGTGGCAGAGTATTTTCCTCACACATGTGAGGCACTGGGCTCTATTCTCAGCACCACATTAAAAAATTTAAAAAAAAAATAAAGTTATTGTGTTCACCTACAACTAAAAATATTTTTTAAAAAGTTTTTTTGAGACAGGCTTTTGCTAAGTTGCCCAGGCTGGCATTGATCCTTGGGGCTGGGGACATAGCTCAGTTGGTACAGTGCTTGCCTCACATGCACAAGGCTCTGGATTCAATCCCTAGCAACACACACACACACACACACACACACACACGCACCAAAAAAAAAAAAAAAAAAAGAAAAGGAACAAACTTGTGATTCTCTCACCTCAGCCTTCCAAGTAGCTAGGATTACAGGTATAAGCCACCATATCCACCATGGCAAAACCTTTTTCTTATATTCACATACATACAATTAAAACTGGGTTAGCCAGGTACAGCAGCACAAGGCTGTAATCCCAGCAACTCACAAGGCTGAGGCAGGAGGATCACAGGTTCCAGGTCAGCTTCAACAACTTAGCAAGACACTGTCTCAAAATAAAAAAATAAAAATGGCTGGAGATGGAGTTCAGTAGTCAAGTGCCCCTGGATTCAATCACCAGCATCACAAAAACAAAAACATACACACACAAAAACCAGAGTAAAAATTCCTGCTGCCCTCCTCCCCCCTCCCCCCAGTACTGAGGATTGAACCCAGGAACTTTTTCTCCCCTCAGCCTCCTGAGTAGCAAGGATTACAGGTGTGTGCCATCTTGCTTGGTTTTCTTAAACTGGTCACTGGGACAGGGAAATAAGGGGAGGTAGGAAACTCATCAACAACCTAAAATGAGCCTGGCTTGCACACCCACACTTTGTGGAGCTTTTTTGTTTGCTTGTTTGTTTAGTGGTGCTGGAATTGAACTCAGGACTTACACATGCTAATCATATGCTCTACCACTGAACTACACCCCCCAGCCCAATAAGGTGAATCTTTATAGCTACAGTGACTCTTTCCTTGTTGGTCCACCAGCTGGACTGCTGCTGTTACACAACATTACATGCTTATTTCMCTAGCTCCTGACAAAGGTGCCATACCCAGCATTCACCCTGGTGGCCAGGGAGAGAGAAGGGAAGCAGAAGCTAAAGAATGGGCCATCTGTGCAGGTAAACAGGTCTGGTTGCAAAGTTCACCTCTGACATTTATTTGCTTAAGCCCTGCATCTTCCTTATATTGCAGTGGCCTAATCTGTAAAATAGAGCTAATAAATAACATTGACCCCACAAAAGTTTTTGTTTCTAGGCAAAACCTGTGGGTTGAGTTTTGTCTCTGGGCTCACTAAGGTACAGGTGATGTTGGAGTGACACAGCAAAAACAATGCATCCTCCTATGCCCCCATGCTTGGGCAGCCCAGGATAGACAGCCAGGCTGTTGGACACACAGTAGTGCAGGGCTCTGCATAGGCACCACTGGCTATTATATGATTTTCTTGGCCACCATAGGGCAGAGAGTAGTTTCTCACCTGAAACACCCCTCCTCAAGTTCACAGCAGGGGTCTCCCAGGGCTGGGTCTCCAGGTAGCAGCTCCGGCCAGCCCCAGCTGCCTGCAGCTTCCTGAGCTTGGAATGGTAGAAGCACTGTCTTTTGTCCTTAGCTTTGGGCCTCACTGGCAGTTCCAGGAAAGTAAGAAAAGTTCCACTTGACACCCTGTGAGACTGGGAGCTAGAGTTGTGTCAGTTTCTGACTGTGGGGGCTCCCCACAGAGTATCTGCGTGGCAATGGCAACTTTACAGAGGGTCTGCAGTTTGGATACCTCCTGAGAAATGACATATGAGCCACAGAGATAAGAAGGAGGTAGCCAGGAAAAAAGCCATGGAAAGGGTTCTGGGGATAGCTAAAAAGGCTTCTGTCAAGGCCCAAAGGCAGGAAGGAGCTCCAGGGAGAGAACAATGCAGCTGGCAGGGCAGCCAAGAGCAGGGAGACTGTGCTCAGGGACTGGGCATGCAGAGGAGGAGTCCGGGTTTTACTCTAAGCCCAATGGGAAGCAGAGAAGGGTATGATCCATCTGATGTTTTTGTTGTGAGGATTAACTAGGACTGTTTATAAAAAGCACTCTGCCAGCGTGGCACACCAGGGCCGCTCTGATGTTTCCAGGGCTTTCCCACTGTGACTGCTCCTCAGGGTCCAGGCCTAGAACTCAGCAGATGCTCAGGAGTGTCCAGGAGTGATGCCCCAGTGGGTCAATGCTGGGGTCAATCCTGTAGAGGGTGCAGCATGGGAGTCAGGTGGGCAGCTCTCCCACAGGCCAGGTACAGATCCCAAGCTTGAGTCTGATGATGGTTCCCCCCAGGTACCTCTTTCAATTGCTACACTTTCCTTTCCTGCCATGCACTTCCTCTTTCCCCACCCTGTAAGCCTCCTCAGTGACACTCATGGCCTTTTCCTCATCAACATGGTGCCTATTTGATAGTTCAGGATACCTGAAGATGGGAAGCAAGTGTTCGTGTGTTTGTGTGTGTGTTACTGGGGATAAAACCAAGGGCCTTGCACATGCAAGGAAAGCACTTTGCCACTGAGCTAAATCCTCAGCCCTTCAAGTGTTTCTTAAAAAGGAAAAAAAAGGTAGGTGGAAACAAAGTGCTTTTCATTTCCACAAAATGTTATATCGCTACATCAGTGATTTTTCCAGGTGATGCTCCCAACCAGTGATCCCACTGTGTCCTTTGGGTCCGCCAAGGGTGAGGCCAAAGGCTTAAGGGCCCCTTAAGTATCTCCAGGCTCACAGCCACATGGCTAGGCTTCTCTAGAGAGGAGCATTCCTATGAGATACTTCTGCCACGAACCCCCCACAGCAGCCTCAAATAATCCCCAGATCTTTCCTCCACAACAAACCCCCTACAGTATGCCCACAGAAAAAGAAGGCAGCCTAGGCTGGATGGGGATGGGCAGAGCCCAGGCTCCACAGACATCTGTTGGTTCCACTCTATCAGATGCAAGGTGCTCAAGTAGATTTCTGGTCAAAACTTAGGGCAGGAAGGAGGAAAAATGGATGCGGGAGGAAGGACAAGCCTTATTACCAACAGTGGTGCGGAAGAGTCCCAGGACCAAGGCTGGTGCCTCTGTGCAAGTAGACTACCCCCCATCTCTGGAAGCTGCAGAACAAATTTCACCAATGCTGGCCATACAGTCACTTGGCTTCATGGTCCACCTCTAACTGTGAGTTCAGCTGGGTGGTTCAGGTATTTGCTCTAATTCACAGATGAGGAAAGTGAGATTCAGACAAGTACTGGAAGATCCT